TAAGCAGAGACTACGGACTTTGATTTGGCGCGATCCTGGCACACCTTTCGCTTTTTTCATATGCGAACGTGTGAACGGCAGGGTCGGGAAGGGACGCCCTAGAAGGTTTATCGATCAAATCGGCGATATATTAAAAATGGGCTAGATTAGGAGTAAACTTAACCGACGAGCGTGTATGCGTAGATATATGGATGTAAAAGAGGCGAAAGAGGTGTGTCAGGATCGCGCCAAATGGAAGTCCGTAGTCTCTGCCTACTCCTCTGGGTGACAGGCGTGAGTGTTTATGTATATATGTATGTATATATCTCCGATATAGATGAATGTATCTACGGTTTGGTCTATCGATTGAGGGTAATATTGACTTGGACCTTCTTTAACATACACATGTATATATGCATAACACATACATGTATTGCCAATGTGATCAATAAACTTTCGCCTAGAGCGTCTTTGCCGACTCTGCCACTCACTTTTGGAATTTAAATTTGCATTGTCACCTTTTCCTCGTTAATTCTTTCTACGCGTACATGTATACTCTATACTTCAGTCATATAGTCAAATATCTACATAGTAGCGTCACGCAAGAGCGTGTTATTACTGCAGGCTGCAGTACGAATGGATCACCTCGATCGGGGAAAGATCACGCTCTTACACATCACAAAATACCAGCGTGAAATAGCGGCGTTATGCGGCCGTGTTTAGTTTGTTGAGTGAGGAGAACCAGAGACAATTTTTACTGGTCCTGTTCCTTAGAGGAGACTAGGATGGAATGCCTCTTTATCCCCTAAATATATCGAGTATAGATTTCGGTGTCTATGGCCCACAGGATCCAGTTATCATCAGGTGGATTACGTTGTCGTTTGTCACACAAATTCTAAAAAAAAATATGATAAGGCGACTTTCTCATACCTAAGTTCTTCCTTCTTATCGTTTTGCATAACGACGATAACTGTGATAAATTATCGTAATTTGGCGCGCAAAGGTGTCTAAATACTCGCCCGTCAATATGGAATAGAACGAACATTTGCAACAAAAACAATATTCGTTTGCGCAGTTAACAATCGGTTGGCTGCGATGCCATGGGTCGCATAGTTGTTTCTTTCATGGAACTATATTGGCATGTATGACCTACAATTTGCTTTACCTACTAAAATTGCACGAGGGCTTCCTTCACGTACAATTTGTGTACGTGTAATGCCTCCATAATACAGGAGAAATTTAGTGTAGCAAATTATTTAAAAATACATAATACAGTGGTACCATTTCATTAGGTACCACCGACGAATGAGTAAAACAGCTAAGTATCGTTAAATAGCGAAATTAAACTTCAATTGTGTCTAGAAAAAGGCCGAGGTCATATCAATTATTAGTTATAAGGTAACATTGGATTGTAAAATCGTAAAATCGTCGGTAGAATCCTATATGATAGATTTCTTTCTCTTCTATTGTTTTTAATTTTAAAAAAAAAAACGTTACCCTCACACTAGGATATTCTCCTGAATCGTGGAGGCAGTTTACAAACAAATTGCACAAGGACAAGGTTCAGTGCGGGATTCGAACCCGCGGCCCCCAGCGCAGCAACTCATTGCTAAGCCGCTGCGCCACGGATCCGTCATGTCACGTATGTTTTGATGTAAATAAATTAAAAAAAAATACCTACATAAAATAATTTTCCTTACGCTTGTATCTCACACAACACCAACTTTAATGATAAAACCTTTAAAAATATACGCATGCATTCGTTGTGCGTAATGATTCCTTTTACTCGAATACGAGAGGAGGGTAACGTTTTTTGAGTGTATGTATGTGTCTATTTCTGTAGCACGCTCTGTAGCCTAAACGGCGTGATTGATTTTAACATAATATGAAGTGTCGTTAGATTCGTAACTTCAACAACAACTTAGTTGTGGAAGTAATACACAGAGTATAGATTTTGATTTTTTCTCTTTTCAGTAAACTTTTTATACAATCGGCTTTTTTTTTTCTTTGAGCTTGTTGAGTATGGAGTATAGATGCCTGTGGTCGTAAACATAATTAAAATGTTGGCGTCACAGACTCGTCTTTATTCAACGACGATATTGTTACAAATGAGGAAATAATTAATTGTAATATTATAGATTAATATGCGTTGTTAAATTCCAATGGGGTTAACGCATTAAGAATCGAAAAGTTGACGGCTCATTATAGTATGACGGCGCTAAGGAAAATAATGGATGGATTTATACAGAAGGATAAACAATTATATTTTACACCAGGACAATCTTCTGAGTCAGATTATATCTCAGTGAGCTAACTATTTAAAATAATACATATGCAACAAAGTGATACAATAACCAATTACAACGCAAATTATGAAGAGTCTATTGGAACGAAGTTTCTTATCGCACGGTACGAATTTGACGGATGGGGGTGTGGCGGTGGAAGGAAAAGGGGAGATCTCCTGCCGGGCAAGGTGTTCTGCCCGGGGAGCGGCCTACGCTCCGATTGGTAGTTCGGAGCTATTCTATATATGCTGCTTTAATTTCTGAACTTTGATAGCGCGATTTAGGCTTTCGATGTGTATCGCTTGTGGCGCGACGACAGCGCCGCCACATCACCCCCCTGCTCAGACCGGAGGTCGATAGTGGAGTCTAGATTGCCGGTGCGTCCTTAATGCCGGTGGGGAATGCATGCTGTGTGCGTAAGGGCAAGTGACGCCGGTGCGAATGATATGCCGGTGTGTAATGCATGCCGTACTACGCACTTGCAAGTGATGCCGGTGAGAACGATGATCCGGAGCAAGTGCCAGGGATTGCCTTGTAGTCTGCGGTGAGTCGAGAAGAAGGCAAGTAATCTGCGAGAGTGCCGTGAAGCAGAGGCGAGCAGTAAGGCTCAGAGCCGTGCCGAACACTGTAGCGCAGAGAGTAGCTTGAAGGAACAGGAAGCATTATTATTCCAGTGCTGCGATGAACCTTTGTTAAGCTAGATGGCTTGCAGATTGTGAAGACTGCAGACAATATCTGCTCGGGAGCGAATGAATGGGGTACTTGAGTAAGATGACGAAGTTTTTGAAATTGTAGTTTCCGAGGATTGTTGGTTGCGTGTTCATATCACGTCGGGTGGTCACCACTGTGGCGGTGGAAGGAAAAGGGGAGATCTCCCGCCGGGCAAGGTGTTCTGCCCGGGGAGCGGCCTACTCTCCGATTGGTAGTTCGGAGCTATTCTATATATGCTGCTTTAATTTCTGAACTTTGATAGCGCGATTTAGGCTTTCGATGTGTTTCGCTTGTGGCGCGACGACAGCGCCGCCACAGGGGGCTAGGCGAGAAACAGTGAATTCATATACATATTTGTATTTGTTAATCAATAATATAATACGTTTGTCAATAATAAATATACTACAGTGTCTTTAACAGTGGTAGAGCCACGAGGCCGCTTTTGCTGTCGCACGGATGGGCCGGCTCGAACCGGGGTAGTACCACGACCTCACAGAAAATCAACGTGAAGTAGAGGTTTACCTCTGCGTTTCGCTTGGTGAGTGCAGGTGGCCGGAGGCCCTTTTTACTGGAAATGCAGCATTCCATCTTAGTCCTCACGGGTGACAACGCATCTACATTTTGATTTGTAACAGAGGATAGATGTAGATGTCTATGGGCCGCAGCAACCACTTACCATCAGGTGGACTGTGTGCTCGTTTGTCACCCTTATCCTATAAAAAAAAAGTGTTCCACGACACACACGCATGTTTTTTTTAATATTTTGCTTTATTCTGTTACCTTAAAAATTAGTTAACATAATATACCACTGCCTGAACTACGAAAGTAAAGGACAAAACTGAAAAACAGCGACCGTTTCGCCACGCCAAATACTGAGCGCGATCCCTTATCAATATATTTGGCAACGTCGTAGTATTACATTACATATGAAATTTAACTAATGGTAAATAAATATGTATAGTATGGCCTTATCATTATGTTGTGGTGAAATAAATGTTTTCTAGAGGGTCTGAATTGTTTTATGTTGAATGTTTGTCTACGTGCAATTTATGTAACATATTGATGTCATGTAACATAAATTAAATACGTGGTAACCTTTATACGTGGTAGAGCCATGCAGCTATATTATAGTTGCAACACGAATTGGTCGGCTCGACCAGTTTAGGACCACGCTCTCACAGAATACCAGCGTAAAATAGCAGCCTAATGCTGCTGTGTTTCGCATGGTGAGTGTAGAGAACCGGAGACCCTTTTTCTGCCGACTTCTAAAAAGGAGACGGTACTCGATTCGACTGTATGTTTTTTTGTGTGTGTTACCTCATAACTTTTTACTGGGTGAACCGATTTCGATGATTCTTTTTTTACTTGAAAGCTGGTACTTCTCGTGTGGTCCCAAATGAATTTCTTCAAGGTCAGACCAATAGTTTTTGAGTTATTAACTTATATTGAAGTCGGCAGTACAAAATTTTTTATTTTAAATTATACAGAAAATGAGACATTCCTTCTGAGTCCTCAAAGGGTGACAACGCATCCACTTACCACCAGATGGACTGTGTGCTCGTTTGTCACCCTATTCTATAAAAAAACTTATCTGTATAAAAATCAATTACTGTCGGTTAGTCTCGCTAAAACTCGAAACTGGTTAGACAGATTGTGATGGATGGTTTAGATTCACAGTTAAAGCTGGAAGCTGTTGTCGTGATAATCACCCGTGCGAACCCGGGGCGAATCGCTAGTGTACAAAAGTGGATACTGAAAGAAACAATGACCCAATCAGGATAGTTGACAGTGAAATAAGTGCATCTGGTTCATCGTCATTAAATTTTATCACCACAAAATTCATCTTCTTCATCTTCATTTACTATAGGAAGGTTAAAAAAGTGAGATTGGGTTACTTCCAAGTAAATACTGGCTGAACAAGCTTAAATATCTGAGAGGTACCAAAAAAAAATGAATTAAAAAAAAATGAAGCGGCACACTGTTGACGGAAGTGGGAGGGGTGTGCGACTTATATACTTCACTTACCCCAGCAGCGGAGTACGCAGCCGCACCAAATGCGACGACGATCGTCGACGCGACCAGGTACAGGAACGCTATCACACCGTACACGGTCATCTCTATCTTCAGCCACTTCAACTTGTGGTACTTCTCGACGATATGGAATAGGTATAACAAAAGAAGGATACTGGAGAGCCAGAGACCGAGGTGGGCGACTACGTTGAAGTAAACACCGCGGCCGTTCCACCGAAATGCTGACGACTGGATGCAGACAAATCCAAGAAGATCCAGTATCTAGGGACAACAACGAAATGATTATGTTCAACTCTAGGAATGCCAGTATTGCATGCCTTAAGCGAAAACGCAAGGTATGTTCTACTATCGCCTAAAATTTAATATTACAGTGTGAAGTGAGCTTAACAGTAATAATTTTAAGTATTTACACTTGTAGTTAACTATAAGAAGGTTAGAGTTATGCGGCATTACTTATAATCTGTCTCTTTCTATCGTCATTTAGTGAAAAGGGAGAGAGACAGAGCAACTTTAAGCATTTATTAAGTTATTGATTGTTATGAGTATGGCTGATGTTGTGTAAGGATTAAGAAGGGAACATTACGGCCCCCAAAAGATAGTGAAACACTATAGCAAAACCTCTTTAAAGTATGCTACAGTTATTTTAATCCATTTGTATGTATGACCTGAGATGACATCTTCAAATGATATTGCTGCTTTTTTTTAATAAAAACATCATTATACTAGCATTTCAACCTGTATTGTGGAGGTAGTTTACAAACATAAATTGCACGAGGGTAACATTCAGACCGAAAACAATTATTTGTAGGCCTTACTAATACTTGTTCCTTGCGGGATTCGAACCAGTTCTTCGACCTCCTATTTAACGCTGGTGATCTGTGAGAGTGTGATCTTCCCTCAGTCAAGCCGACCCATTCATGCTGCAACCATAATATAACTGCACAGCGACACTACTGTTAATATCTACCTCTACATCAGATTAAAAATAAAATTGAAGATGCTTGACCCCTAAAATGTGAGATGGAATGCCTCATCACCAGTAAAATGGTCTTTAGATCTTGTTCACTCACCATATGAAATAAAGCAGTACTATGCTACTCTTTCACAATTGTATTTCATACTAATGTGGCTATTCACTAGTCAAATCAATACTTTCGTACTGCAACCATAACATCTAGCTATAATTTTTACATATTTACTAAATTGTCATGTTAAACAGAAGCATTTTTTACCATTTTCCTATCAAATTATGTATGTACATAAATAAATAAATAAATAAATGAAAGTGTTGTTTTAATTCTAATTGGTGTTTGTTTTTATTCTATACACAATACTATAAGTACTAAATAAAGTTATATACATACAATTACAGCAATTTTAATCATCCCTGGCAGTGTCTTTACATATGAGGGATCAAAACGAGTCTCTGTATTGAATACTGTATTGGTTGATCCCATTGCCTGTGGAGGGGCTGCTGGTGGGCTGGGGTGTGCCATGGTGCTATCTGCAATATAACTCATTTTTAAATTGAAGTGAAAGGTTGAGCACACAGTAAATGATCATAATGTGCATAATATCATTTTTATTACATGAGGTAATAAAACATTGGCTTGGATTACACCATTCCACCGCAATCATTGTTGCTTATGCTGCTGCACAGCAAGGTGCAGGTTTGATTTCCAAGCAGGACGTATTTCTATCATCAAAAAATGTTGATTCAATCTGTTTGTCCATGTTAAACATATCACACCTTTTAAAATGAACTGTTAATAAACTAAATTTTTTTGGAATGAACAAAACCGATACGAGATAGGACGGTACGAATTTGGAGGATGGGGGCTATGTGAGAAAAAGTGTAAGATTTTTCCGTCAGGACCCTTTCTGACGTAGTGTAGATGACTTTAGCGGCTGTAAGGAAGTGAGATGGAATAATATCCATCTCCCTCAAACTTTTTCTTATCTTGCCATGAACTAAATATTATTTTATTTTAAATGACGCTTGATTTTAATAGACACTAGTAATTCATTTATGTGTATTTGTTAATCAATAATATAATATGTTTATCAATAATAACAATAAACTACGACAGAAACTTCGTTCCACCAGAGCGTTCCACAACACTCACATACAATTTCCGTAATTATTATAACGTGTCAAAAGTCCACTACTGAACACAGGCAAATTACATCATAGGGGGAGGGGATATTAGCCATAGTTGCCATGCTTGGCAGACGGGGTTGATATAAGGAAGATTACTGCCTGAGGAAGATCCAAAAAAGTGAAATTGCATTGCGTTTTTGTCAGGTAAATACTAGCTGACTAAAACTCAAATGTCTGCTAGATCCCAAAAAATATGAACTGAATTTAAAAATTAAGCCATTTTTTTTTGAAATACTTGACCTCCAATATTACCGGACGAAGAACTTAGTCATTTCAGTCTATTCTAAAATTAAAAAAGTATATGAGAGGACAGAGATTTGAACATGATGAATCAATAGTCACTGCAAAACAGTATTTTAAAAGTGCTGAAGATAAGGAGCACTTTAAATAATTTTGAATTTAATAACATTATTAACATAAGAATTTAATAAAAACTAATTACATTAAAAAGAAAAAGTGATAATATAAAAAATTTACCGACTATAAAAATGTCAATTAAAAAAAAACCTATTTATAATGCCTATTACAGTTTATAGTTAATGCTCATAAATGTGTGTTAATGAAATCTTTTAAATGTAATCATCACTTACGTCATTCCAAAACTGCCTCTCCGTTATGATTTTTTGATGTAAATAATTTTTGATTTATACGATATGTCTCATTTCCAACATACAGATTACTGCGAATGCCTGATAACACATTTTAGTCAACATCTTTCCTTGATACAAATGATGACTACATCAAGTACACACTGAACAGTGTTAAATGCATCAATGACTCATATTTTTGAGTAACAAGCCGTGTGGTAACTTGATTTGTTTACGAAATTCAATGTTATCGAAAGCATCTTCCTGTTAATTCATATGGCAATGTTAAGAACAAATGATAAAAAATGTATTACTCCTGATTAATTCTTTAATCAATTTCAAAATTTCATTCGAAATTATACTCAAGATCAAGACTCAGTTCTAATCAATATAACACATTCTGAGTTTAAAAATCATTAGGTCCCCAATACAACTTTATAATTTATGTAGGTCTCTACTAGAATAATTACAACTTACTAGTATAGTAGTAGTAGGTACAACAACAAATCAAATAAAAAAAACAGAACTGTCAAAGTGACAAAGTCACAATTATTATTTGTATTAAGATTTTTAGCTTGGATGCTTGTTTTTAAGCCATGTCTTCATGTATCATAGTATCAAGTGATAATAATCCTTTATAGTACACCAAAACCTGCGCTAGCACTTCTTATTAATTTGTGGCCAAAACCCCAAGTCAATAATACAATAATATAATTACAGACCAACTATAACTAGAATACATAATAAGGTTTAAACCATAGACTTATAATCATTATATTTATAAACAACTAAACTTATCTATGATGTCACTGCTCCTCCCAAAAGAAGTGCTAGATATTATATCGCTGCTCCTGTTAATTTTTTATTTATAGCTAAAATTATACAGGCTACTTATGTTTGCGGCAGCTTAGGGAGGGTTGAAGTTCAAGGAAACGAAGACTTTTTCCTATATTACTTTTATTTTGTAACTTAATTTACTACTGTGACAATGTGATTACACAGGAATACTAGACTAAACTAAGTTACAAACTAACTTAACTACTACTGGGCTGTCCTAATAATTAGACCCTGGGTTTTAAACTATGTTCAATATTCTTAAGTCACGTAAAAGACGTGCTGTTATTTACTTAGCGGGCGGTGCTGCAAAGCAGGTGACTTCCTGATAATTTGAAATATTATATTGAATATTTTTAAGTCACGTAAGTGAATTGAGTAACGTCGTGCTGTTAAAGGTGACTTCCTGGTTCCATGTAAGATATCGGTGGTAGACATTTGTAACTGGCTTGTCTATGTATTTTGATCACCAAATCCTACTATCCTACTAATATTATGAACGTGAAAGTTTATGAGGATGTATGGATGTTTGTTACTCTTTCACGCAAAAACTGGGTTTTAATGAAACTTTACAATTATATAAATTATACATCAGAATAACTGAGTTTCTCTGCGTGATAAACTTAGAGATGAGGATATCCGCAGTAGAAATAGAGTGACCGACATAGCCTAACGGATTAGTAAGCTGAAGTGGCAATGGGCCGGCAATATAGCCCGAAGAACCGACAACCGATGGGGAATAAAGGTTCTCGAGTGGCTTTCTCGTACCGGCGTACGAAGTGTAGGGCGTCCCCCCCTCCAGATGATGTGACGACCTGGTAGGACATGCAGGAAGTCGATGGATGCAGGTGGCTCAGGACCGTGTTTTGTGGCATTCCTTGGGGGAGGCCAATGTACAGCAGTGAACTTGTGAACGGCTGTAATGATGGTAGTACATTGGACCCCGCTAATTTCAGACCTATTTATGTACTACCAACTCTTAGTAAAATTTTTGAAAAAATAATTTTGGATCAATTGTTAATTTTTTTCAATACAAATAAATTACTTCATAAAAACTAATTTGGTTTTACAAGGGGTCGCTCGACGTCTGACGCCAGTGTTGACCTTATGAAATATATTTTTAATGTCTGGGAGAGTTCACAAGATGCTGTAGGTATTTTCTGTGATCTTTCCAACGCTTTCGATTGTGTTCATCATGAGACATTAATCAGGAAACTACAACATTACGGTGTAAAAAATTTGGCGCTAAGACTTATTACTTCATATTTAAGTAATAGAACTCAAAAAGTCGTGATCAATGGTGAAGGTTCCTCCGGATCGGTAGTATCAATGGGCGTTCCTCAGGGCTCGATTCTTGGCCCATTCCTGTTTTTAATCTATATTAATAAACTTACCTTATCTTGTAGGGGACAATCAAGATATAGTATTATTTGCTGACGATACCTCTTTAATTTTCAAACTCAAACGGCAGTCAATTAATGATGACGATGTAAATAATGCTCTATCAAAAATAAGTACATTGGTTTAACGTCAACAATATGCTCTTAAACGGCAATAAGGCAAAGAGTTCAGTCTTGTATTATGATGTTTTTCTAGATACTATTGCCGCGAAACTTCAATGGAGCCCCCATATATTTAAATTAGCAAGCAGACTTAATTCTGCAGCATATGCTGTATGAAAGATTAGAAGTCTCACAGATGTTGAGACAGCTAAATTAGTGTATTTTAGTTACTTTCATAGCGGAATGTCTTATGGAATTTTGCTAAGGGGTAATGCGACTGATATTGAAGCTATATTTGTTTTGCAAAAGAGAGCCATACGGGCAATTTATAACCTAAATTGTAAAGAATCCCTCAGAGAAAAATTTAAAGAAATAAACATATTAACTTTGGCATCGCAATATATTTATGAAAATGTAATGTATGTACATAAAAACATAAATAGCTTTAATAAGAAGAAAGATGTGCATAATTTAAATACTAGGAACAAACATAAGCTTGTAATGCCAGTTACTAGACCCCACAGAATCAGTAATTCATTTACGGGGCAATGTATACGCTTTTACAACAAAATCCCAGAACACATTCAAAGTTTATCAATAAACAAGTCTAAAAGTTTTATTATAGAATAACTGTACAAAAAGGGTTATTATAATATCAAGGAATACATGAATGAAAATAACCCCTGGGAATAAGGTGATCGCCACCATGCTGGTTCTATGAAGAATCATTTAAAAATTGTATAAACAAAATTATTGCTAAGTGAAATATGATTGAAAAAAAGTTTCGTTGGGTTTCTTGCTGATATTTTCCGAATCAGTGGTAAATAAAAATTGACTTTCAATAAGTATTATGTAATAATCAATATTGAATAAAAAATTATTCCATTGTATTCAATAGCTTCTCTACGTGGATGAGCCATGCTGCAGCTATATTAATAGTATAATTGTAGCATGAATGGGTCGGCTCGACCGGGGAAGGACCACGCTCTCACAGAATACCAACGTAAAATAGTAGCTTAATGCTGCTGTGTTTCGTATGGTGAGTGTAGAGAACTGGAGACCCTTTTCACTGGAAACGAGGCATTTCATCTTAGTCCTCACGGGTGACAACGCATCTGCATTTTGATTCGTCATCGACGATAGATCTAGATCTCTATGGGCCCCAGCAACCACTTACCATCAGGTGGACTGTGTGCTCGTTTGTCACCCTAATTTTATAAAAAAAAGCTCGCTGAGCGACCTCGAGCTTCCTCGTCCGGCCAGCAGTGAAGGACCACGTCTCAGATCCATAAGTCATCATTCATCACTGGCAACACGCACTGGTTGTACAATCTCATTATCAGGTTTTGAGTTATACCTGATGTGAAGATGTGTCGTAGTTTCCCGAACGCTGCCCAGCCGAGTTGAATCCATCGATTGACGTCTCGGTCGAAGTTGGACTTACCTAGTCAGATTATTTGTCCCAGGGAAACATACTCGTCAACAACTTGGAGCTTAGTGCTCTCAACAACTACTGGCATATGTGTGACATGGACTTTAAACATAATCTTTGTTTTGTCCATGTTCATCTTAAGACCTATCCGTTAGGAGACATTATTGAGGTCATTGAGCATAGTGCTTAGGTCCTCCAGCGATTCTACCATAAAGACTATATCGTGGGCAAATTGAAGGTGAGTGATGTATTCGCCATTGATGTTAAAACCGTATCCTTTCCAGTCCAATAGCTTGAAATCTTCTTCCAATGCAGCGGTGAAGAGTTTCGGGGATATTAGGTCACCCTGTCTTACACCTCTCTGCAGTTAGACAGGTTTCATATTCTGGTTCTGTACTCGGATAGCCCTCGTAGCCATACTGTACAAACACTTCAGCACTTCGATATACATACAGTCGACTTGGTACCGCTGAAGGAACTACAGCATCGCCCAAATTGCTACGGAATCAAAGAATTTCTCATAGTCCCCATATGCAAGACAAAGTGGCAGATTGTACTCTTCTGTCTTCTGTACAATTTGTCGAAGGGTGTGTATTATGTGGTACATGGTACTAAAGCCTTTTTGGAAACTGGCTTGTTCAGGCGGCTGGAATTCATCAAGTCTGCGTGCGAGACGATTCGTAGTGACTCTCAAAAACAGCACGTAGACGCGGTTCATATGGGAAATCGGTCTGTAGTTCTTCAAAAGAGCGTTGTCACCTTTCTTGAAGAACAAGACCACCGTACTTCTGCTCCACGCCACCGGAGTAGTGTTACCATGTAGGAAGGAATTAAAGAGCTTTATAGGACTTCAAGGACCGGTTTTCCACCCGCTTTCAGAAGCTCCACTCTAATTCCATCTTCACCCGAGGCCTTGCTTTTTTTAAGGTACTGGAGAGCCATTCTAATCTTGCTCAAACTGACGTCCGGGCTATTTTCGGAATAGTGTCGGATAAGATACGCTCTTGGATCGTTATTCATACTTGTGTGTGGCTCCAACGATGACGTATACAACGAAAACGATGCTGCCACACTCAGTCTTCAGCTTTGACAGTTGGCTCTTTCTGGCAGATAGATCTGTGGCAAAGACTCTGGAGCCTTGGTTCCACTCGATCGCTTCTTCAATACAAGCTGTATTGAAGTTGCGTAAGCCCCGCCGCATGCATTTGGAGATCTGTCTGTTCATTAGCCTATATGCTGTCAAATCTGTTGAAGACTGCAGCTTCATTTCCCGTCTAACAGCCATGAGATTAAGAGTGTGATCGTAGAGTTTTTGTGTTCTTCTGCGGCGGGTCTTGCAAAACTTAGCTCCGACAGCATGGACAGTTTCCACGAGCTTATCATTCACTTCATTGCAGTCTTCTAGGAACTGGATCACTAGCGTTGACTTCATTAGACGAGACCTCTCCAACTTATTGTTTAGTTTCAGTGTGCCTCTTATCAATCGGTGATCGCTAGCAGTCTCTGCCCTCGTGATCACTGAGACATCACAGAACAGTATTTTTGTCTGGTCGTCATATTGAAGTCAATCTCATTTTTTGTCGAACCGTAGGGACCGTGTGGCCGCTTCTGGAAGAAAGAGTTCATCATAAAGAGTCCCTCTTTCTCCACGAAGTCGGCCAGCTGCGTCCGTTGCCCTATTCCAAATTTCCCTACCTTCAGCCCACCGTTCTCTC